AACAACATCAATGACAAGGAAGAAGGGGGCGGAACCGTCGTGGGTCTCGGCGGAACCAAGTGCAGCACAAGTTGCGGAGAGGGGTAATGGCCTCTGCGGGGGTGGCCTCCAGATAGCCAGGCTCTGGCCTCTCAACCTCTACTCATGCGCATCCGAGGCCTGCACACTCAGGAACTTCAAAACCCTCGCTTGGACTGGTTAGGGGCCCGTAAGCGGCAGGATTTATTGTAAGGAAACGGCAGCCCTCCCCGCGCCTGGAGGCGGAGGCAGAGCAGTGGTAGGAGCTGAGTTTGACGTCACCGGTGGTGGGAGGAGCCCTGCGTGACTGGGCGCGACTTCCGGAAGAAGGGAGCGCCAGATTGACGGTAGGGAAGGGAGACGCAGCATGTGATACCTGACGCAGGCAGGCAGACCGGCGGGGCGGGGAGGGGCGGGAAGCGCTGGTGGTGCCGGCGACGGGCGCCCCCTCCCGTCTCACAGAGGCCGCCGAGTTCCGTCAAGTCTGTAAGTCGGTTAACTTGGGCGCTCAGGCGGTGGAGGTGGCGGAACTCGCGTTGGTGCAAGGGCTCGTGACGCTTCTCATTATACGTTTCTCTGTTGCTGGGCTGAGGACTCAAGAGCCAGAGTGGTGGCTTGGGTCTTTCTCAGCCGTTCGACCTGCCCGGAGTATTGTTGGGGGTTTCTGAGAGAGAGCCGCTAAGGATGGGGGGCGGGCGCAGTCGCGGGCTTCCCCGGAGGGGCTGGGTCGCGTAGAGGAGAAGCGCGGGGCGGGGCGGCTGGAGGCCGGACGGAGGTCGCGAGTGGACACCCCCCATTCCTTGTTCGGACCTCGAAGTGGACTTGGGCGTACACCTGGTGTGTGGGGAAGGAGTGAGGACAGCGCCACCCTTTGGATTTAGAGGGAGAGGAGAAAAAAAGGCGACTGAGTTAGGTTTGTTGGTTGATAATCGGCCTCTTCTCCGCGGTTTGAGGGAGGCTCCGAGTTCCCGATTTTGAGGCCCTAGGTGTAAAGAAGCTGATTGTTAGGGTAAAGGTTTTCTTTAGCTTGGCGCCCCTAATTTGAGAGAGGGACTTTCGAAAGAGTGTATCTTAACTTCATCGCAACTTGGGAAGTAGTTAACTGATTGTAAGGGTCAGGGAAGTCAGAAAAGGAGTAAGTGATTTTATGTAATAATTGAGGATTGCTTCAGTGAGGCTGCCGCTTCAAAGCCTTAACTATGATCTTGGAACAGCCTAGTTTTATAGTGATTAACTCCAATAAACTGTTCTACTAGATATATTTAGCTCTTTGAAGGCAAAACTCTCCATTCATGTTGCTTTGATGACTTTTGGTGTCTTGCACATACCACGTTGCCAGTGATGTGTTATCTTCATTTTGGTACCAGTAGAAAAAAAAGAAAAAAGCTAGCCTTCATGGTAGCTCACTTCTCTGAACCTCTTGTCTGTAAGAGATTCTTCTATGTAATTATTATTATATTTTTATGAATGAGCACTAATAGAAACAGCAGTGAATTAGGAAGTTGAGACTTGGATTTAAATTTTTTATATTTTAAACTCATGAAATATTTTGAAGTGAACCATGGACATCTGGATCTCCCACTTATAAGTACTTCAGTATGCATCTCTAAAAGCATATTACTATATAACAAAAATAATATTATTACACTTAAATAACTTCTGTTATCTAATAACCCATCTTCAAATTTATCTAGTTATCTCCCAAATGTTCTTTATAGCTCTTTTGTCCAAATCAGGATCCGATTAAGGACCACACTTGTTTTTGTTTGTATTTCAAGTCTCTTTTAATCTAGAATAGTCACCGCCCAACACACAGTTTTTTCTTTTTTTTGTCTCTCTGATTAGCTAAAGAGGAGGCTTATTGTCCTGTAGAATATCTCCCTTTCTGTAATTGTTTGACTACTTTCTCTTGGTGTTTAGCTTACTATTCTAGTACCTGAATTTCTAATAAACCGGGACATTAATGCTAAAGGCTTGATTAGGTTAATTTTGATCTTCCTCCATATAAAGTTCTGTGTTTTGTTAAACCTTAAAACAAAATCTATGAGATGTTATTTTTTACAAATGTCCAGCTTCTCCATCAACCATTCACTTAATGGCCTTAACAATAATTGATAATTCTCGCCTGAATCTTAATTGTATTATGGGTTCCAAAATGATAATTTCTAATTCTTTCATTCCATTTACATTTATTAATTTGCATTCTTCTGTATAGGAGAAGCTTTCTTTCACAAACTGGCAACATTTAGTTACCCTGAAATACAGCTCCTATTGAAAAGGCAGAAAAAATGCTTAATTCTTTTTCTTTTATTACCAGTTTTGAAAGTAAGTTATATGGCTTCAAAGAGTGACAAACGAGTTTTTCTAGCTTTTATTTTTTCTGAACATCACATTCTCATAACATTTTTGTTATGTTTTAATCAATCATTCTTTTCAGTTCTCAGATTTTGATACTTCTAGAACTCTTCACAAAGAAATCTATGTAATTATTATTATAATTTTAAAAAAATTCCTTGAGCATTTTTAGTAGAGGTAACACTGGACTGGGTGGGAACGTGAGGCTGGATTTTGGTCTTTTTTCTTTTTTACTTTTGTCCTGATCTAGCTGGGTGACATTAAAACAAGTTGCTTAACCCTTTGAGGCCTCACTTTCTTCATCTGTATAAGTAGAGAGTTTTGGCAAGGTTCCCTGCAACTCTGATGTTCTCTGACTTTTTAAAAAAAACCTATTTTACTGAGATATATAATTCATTCATTTCAAGTATACACCTTAACAATTTAGTAATTTTATCAAATGATACAACCAACACTGTAAATCGGTTTTAGAACATTTTCATCCCTTTAATAAGATTCCACATACCCATTTACAGCTAATCCTCACTTCTTCCTCCAGGCAGCCACTAATGCACTTTCCATCTCTATAAATTTGCCTTTTCTGAACATTTGATATAAATGGAATCATACAATATATGATCTCTTGTGTCTGGCTTCTTTCACTTAGCATAATATTTTTGAGGTTCATCCATGATGTAGCATGTGTCATTAATTCATTCCTTTTTATTGCTGGATAGAATTTCATTTTATTTATTTATTTATTTTTGGTCTATTTACCAGTTGATTAACATTTATTATTATTATTTTTTTGGCCGTGCTTAGTTCCCTGATCAGGGATTGAACCGAGGCCCTGGCAATGAAAGTGCAAGTCCTAACCACTGGACCACCAGGGAATTCCCTGATTAACATTTAGGTTTCTAGTTTTTGGCTATTATGAATACCATTTCTGATATTCATGTCCAAGTCTTTTGTGAACGTATGTTTTCATTTCTCTTGGGTAGATACCTAGAAGTGAAAATGATAGGTTGCTTGATAGTTCTATGTGTAACTTTTGGAGAAACTTCCAAATTGTTTTCTAAAGTGATTGTATTATTTTCCAGTTCTAACAGCAATGTATGAAGGTTCCTAGTCTCTGACTCTTTGATGATTTGGAGATTTTCTCTGATTGATTTGAGACCGATATTTTTCCTTATTCTTAGTGTTTTACTAGCAACAAACTACCTTCTCCTTGGATACCATTAATAATTAATCTTTAAGTATTAGGAGTAGTTCCTAAAGGAAATAAAAATACAGATAGTCTCCAAAGTAGATGGTTCTACTTATGATTTTTCAACTTTACAGTGGTGCAAAAGCAATATGCATTCAGTAGAAACCATACTTAGAATTTTGATCTTTTCCCGAGCTAGTGATACGTGGTAAGATACTCTCTCATGATGCTGGGGAGTGGCAGTGAGCCACAGCTCCCAGTTGTCCCCATGATATTGAGGGTAAACAAGCAATAGACTAAAAAACTGTTCTGTTTTTCACTTCAGAACAGTATACAATAAATTAAATGAGCTATTCAACACTTTATTATAAAAGAGGCTTTGTGTTAGATGATTAGCCAACTGTAGACTAATGTGTTCTGAGCGTGTTTAAGGTAGGTTAGGCTAAGCTATGATGTTTGGTAGGTTAGGTGTATTAAATGCATTTTTGACATTTTCAATTTATGATGGATTTACTGGAACATAACCTCATTATAAGTCAGGAAGGACCTCTATATCAATCTGCTATAAAATAAAATTAAGCTTCTCGGTGTTGTTTTTGAATTTTTAAAACTTCATTTAATTTTCATATTAAATGAAGGATGGTAGGAATACTGCTATTAATAACAATGAGCTAAGACATGAATTAATAAGTTATGATCTTGCTCAGTTACAGTTAAAACACAGTACATTTCAATGATGGCATACAATTTATTTTATTAAGCCAACATCTTTAATATTATTCCATTAAGTACTTATTGAGTATGTATATTCTTAGCATGTTAAGTGAGTTAGGTTATTTCTCTTTACGTTTATTATACTATGTAAATTATAAATTATTTTTGGTAAACTTTTTGATAAAGTAACAAAATTGACTTCTTTAAAGGACAGAATGAAGTCACATTTTGTTAAGTTATAATGTCTGAGCTATGATTCAAAGTGTGGGAGGAAGTACTGACGTTATGAAGACCATAAGTACTCAGTAGTACTAAGCTTCTGGTTCCAAAAGTGGCATATTGTCACTATAGCAACTACCCATGCTTATTTGGATTTGAAACCCAGGCAACAAATGGTGGATAAGAGTATAACATCAAGACGGATATGTACCCTGGTGGGTTGATATGCGTGCCTGTTGGTGGTCAAGTGTTCGTTCCGTTTTTCTTGTTATGTTTATTATGATTGATTCTTTTATAGAGATACCTTAATTCCTGCTAATGTATTTTTCTGGAGAGAAATTAAACATTCAATATTCTTATGTTCTTCCTTTTCTAACATACTAAGCTTAGTGCTTTTTCCAGTTTGGTTATTAGGATATTAAATATATTTTTACTGTAGCTTTCTCTCCATTGCCAAACAATAGTTATAAAAATATAACTTTTATTATGCTGAATCACTTGACATTTCATAACAGAAAAAACCTGTGATACAGATTTTATTTTAGCTACATCATGAAAAGATGTTCAAGGCTACCAATAGACATGCAAACTGCCTAAATTCAAACATTTTTTGAAAGAATGGTTTTTTTTTTCTGAGCAGGGTGTGGGTTTCAGACACTTTCGGCAGGTAGAGATGATGTCCTTCCAATTATCTATTATCTGCACCCATAAAGTTACTTAGAGGCACAGGAGCCTCCTGGGAGAATAGAACTGGGAACTTGATTCTTTCTCTCCACCCTTGTCTGACAGATTGGAATAGTTCCTAGTGAGGTCATATTACAGGAAAAAGAAATGAAGGATTGAAAGGCATTTGTCTTTAGGGTAGGGAAAGTCTGCACTGGTGAGCTGGATGCAGGACAAAGGACCAAGTCTGTTGTTTTTTTTTTCCTAGTTGCACCATGTTGTTGATGTCAGAACTGATCTTAAGCAAGCCACTCACAAGTTGGTTGTGCAAATTTGTGAACTGGAGGATCTATATCAATAAAGCAGGGATTGATAGCTCATATTCTAAAGGAGACAGGAGCAATAAGAGAAGAATTGGGTCCTAAGCAATATGATAGGTAGTGGGGATGACTGCGGCTTACCAGAGGATGCTTTTCCCAGTGGGAAACTGGGCTCTGTTTCCAGATTTCCTAGTTTTTCAAGAGAAACTAAAATACTAATTTTTTAAAAGATGAAATGTCCTGATTGCTAGCTTTCACATTAAAAATATTCCGTGGGCAAACAAAACCAGATTCAAACAAAACCAGATTAGTCTGCAGGATGCCTGGTTACAACTTTTTAACCAAGGAGCTCTCATACATGTGGGCTGGGGCCACTTTGTGTTCCAAGAGCTAGGCCTGCTAGCTAATTCCTGTGTTTTAAGTCCACTCCCAGAGCTATTTTTTTCATTTATTCCTTTCAGAGTTTAAAGAAAAAGAAAGAAAAAGAGGTTTAACTTGAATGTCTATTTTATAGCATAACTGTTTTCTTGCCTTTTATTCAAGAGGATGGGTATTTTTAGGGGTACCTTTTATTATTAAAAACTGAATATCACTATCTTTAATGCAGCTGATACAGCCAGTAGTGTTCCTTGACTTCTGGTCAAAATCAGTAATTGGCTGATTTTAATGATCTTGGTTTGAGTTGTACAGCTTATATTACATATAGGCAGTATCCCACAGTGGGGCTCATAGGACTGTTACTCCAAGGGTACTGTCTCTAAGCAGTCACTTTAACTAGATTCCTTTAGTTTCTTAACTAGCTTAAGTAATGAGGGGATTTTTTTTTCTTTTTTCCTGGTTACTTTAGGGAGTTTTGAGGACATCCATACACATGCATTAGAGCACACCTGATCCTCACAGGGACTACATGGGGAACTAAAAACAGGAACTAATTGTTCCATAGTCTGTCTCTCCTTTTCAGTAGGCTTCCTTTGCTTTTTCATTTTGCATAGGGCCCAACTGCTGGCCCTTACTAGTCTACATGGTCTTCTAGTTCAAGTATCCAGTATCATTTGTAAATTTGTTCTTTGTCTCCTGTTGAAATTCTTGTGAGGATCTGACTGGGTTATTTTTGGGAGATAGGCAACAAAAAAAGTTGATGGTATTCCTGTTGATTGGCTGCTTTAAGGTAAAGAGTCCTGCCCTAGTCCAATTAGCTGAATTTGGGAGAATGGAGTAATGTGCTGAATGCTTTGGACAGATGGATGTAGGGATTTGGATGAAGAGAGGAAGGAGCTTTGTTCCGAACAGGGTGTGAGCCAGCCACCACTCTGAAATCTATCTACTAGATACCATGGCTCAGTAACTTTTTATCCAGAGATGCCTAGAGCTCTGTATAGAACAAAAATGGCCTAAGCTGTCAATTGATCTTTTAAATAGTTGAATAGTGTTCAGGCAGTCTGTTTGGCTTCCCTTACTCCTGGAGTACTCATCAGACTTCCAGGTTATCCTAGTTGAATAACCATGAGACTGTCATGAAGAGATATATTCTTCATGGTCAATTACCACAATGTTCTAATTGCAGAATTTGATATTTAATCCTTTGGAAAAATCTCTTAAGCCTTTTAAGTGCCAAAAAGGTGAAATGAAGTGAATATTTTCATACAGCAAACATTAATTGGAGTGTTGCTTTGCTCTAGGGCAAGAAAGTTTCACTTGATATGCCAACTCTAAACAGTTTTGGAGGCTAAGTAGTACTGTGTTGGGAAGGATTTTGGAATTTGAGATTGTTCTCTTGTTCTGCTGGGAAGAGTGCCACGTTTGATTTGTGATGTCTGCTGTGGTTGGAAAGAATTGTTGACCTGAATGACCTGTATTTTCTATCTGTAGTCTGTAATTATTGTTTAAATAATATATTAGTGTTTGCTTTCTACCTTCATTTTGTTGTACCTATATACTTTTCAATGGGTAGTATTCATATCAATTCCTTATATTGTGAGTAACAGCAGATAACTCAAGTTTTATAAGTAAGTTTTTCCATATTAAGAATTTTTTAAAGCCAAAGTGATGTTAAGTATATTTCTAAATATTAAAATTTATCAGCTCCTGACTGCATTCTCTAAGAACGTGAACTACTTCACTTATATTGAATATTAAGGGGGAACTCATATGCGTTTGCCCCACAAGGAAAATATAACAAAATTTCCCTTCACTTGAAGGATACAGGGTTTTTTCCCCCATGGTATTCAGTTTATATACAGGAATATTCTCTCTAAAATCTAGCCTTTAAGCAAGAAGCATCTAGTAGAAATTCATTACTTTTTTTTCTTAGAGTATTACATGAACATGGCAACAAAAAAATGTAGTACAAAAGTACTTTTGATGAAAAGCAACAGTTTTTCATTCCTTGCCTCCCATTGTTAGGCCTGCCCCCAGAAACAAACATTTGAACTATTTTGTTGTTTGTTCTTTAGGTAACTTTAAATTATATGCTTTTACCTACACTCCTTGATTGATTAAACACTATTTCCTTCCTTTTATAAAAGATGAAGATTTAATTCAGTTACTTCCCCTTCCTTCCCCCAAATTCCTACCAATATTTGATAGTTAATTGTAATTTTACGTTTTTCTCTTGGTGTGTGTGTGTGTGTGTATTTATTGATGTAACATTGGTTTATAACATTACATAAATCTCATGTGTGCAGCATTATAATTTGTCGACTTTATGCACAACAAAGTGCTTACCACCGAAAGTCTGGTTTCTATCCATCACCATACACTTGATCCTCTTTATCCATTTTGTCTCCCCACCACCGCTTACCTCTGGTAACCACCAGTCTATTCTCTGTATCTATGTGTGTGTGCTTTTTGTTTTGTTTGTTATTTTTAAAATATTCCACATGTGAGTGGAATCATACAGTATTTGTCTTTCTCTGACTGACCTGTTCACTTGGCACAATACCCTCAGGTTCCATCCATGTTGTACCAGATGGCAAAATTTAATCTTTTTTTATGTCTTGGTTCTTATATTAATCAGCTTTTACTGCATAGCAGTCACAATCTTCTGTGTACAAGAGAGTGGATTATGACAGATTAGGTAACTTTCAGCAGATGTTTACTCCTTGGTCTTGCGACTTGCTTTGGCCAGAAGAACTTGGGCAGAAGTGACAGTATACCAGTTTTGAGCCTAGGGCTTAAGAGGTATTAAATGTTTCTACTTGGCACTCTGGGAGTTTCCAATCTTTGCATAATAAAACAGGTCCCAGGCATCTGCTGGCCACTGTAGAGCCCCAGATGGAGAAACATAGAAAAGATGTCAACTTGACCTACAGCCTGAAACAGAGATGCCCCAATTGACCTAAAGAACTTATTTCTAAGTGAGAAATATATGCTTATTTTTCATATGTTACTGAGATTTTTGTGTTTGCTTGTTTTGCAGGAAAAGGTTGATCAATTTAAAAATGGGTACCTAGGAGTGGGGTGCTGCTATAATGAAAACTAAAAATGCATGCCCATTGGCTTTGGAACTGGGTGGTGGTTAGCAAGGAAACTATTATAGGAGGCTGGAGAAATGGCTGTGTTATGTAGTAGCAAAATGTTTGATAAAACTTGTCTGTGGTAACATGGAAGACAGTTTAATTAAGTTGCAGTATTTGGCAAGGAACTTTCAAGATGAAAGCATGAGCTAGTTGCTGTTAGCTGCATAGGATAAGGTACTACAAGCATAATTCAATCTACCACATCTGATCTCTTGGTGATAATCATTCATGTCCCTTTTGTTCCAATGACGTAGTTCTTCATCTTCATATGTATGTGTGATGGAACATGCCAGCTGTCAGGCTTTCCTTTAGCGTGGGTGGATAGCCGACTATCAGGCTGCTGGTCTTCCAAATGCCACAAAGAGGAAGGCCTGGCTCTGAGTCACTAAAACCATAGCTTAAAGTTAATTTTTCTGGTGATGTTTTCCCCTCCCTCTCTTTCTTATTTCCTTTTTAAAAAGGGGCTATAATTAATAAGGATGCTATTTGCTGAAACCAGTAAACCTGAAAATTTCAATGGCTAAACAAAATAGCATTTTTTTTTTTACTTCTTTATTAGTCCAATGAAGGTCTTCCTCTCAGCAGGCAACTTTCCTTCGTGGGATTTAGTGCACTGAATTTCTTCTGTCTTGTGATTCTGCCATCCTTAAAATTCCTTGTGATTCTCTGTCTCCTCCTAGCGGAAGGGGAAGAGAGCAGAGAAGGCACTTCTTAATTGCCTTGGCAGGGAAATGACACATTGCTTTTATTTACATTCCATTGGCTAAAACTAGTCTTATGGTCGTGCCTAGATACAAGAGGGGTCTAAGAAATGATGTTTTTGGCTAAGTAGTTATTTCTTAGGGACAACTCTATGTTATAGGAGGAAGTGTATGAATTTTGGTCGACATTTGGCCATTTTTGCCACAAAGGAGAGTTACCCTCTTGTTGTTTTTGGCTGGGGGTAAATATTAGGCTCCTTGTGTGCTTTGTGAGCAGAGGTGGAAGAGGAAGGTAGACATGGAATATTTGACTTGGTACAGTTTTTCTATATTCAGATCTTCAGTTCATCTCTGTCCTTAGCTACTTCCTTTCTTAATGCCCCTTTAAGACAGTTCCTCAGGTATCCCTGAGCCTAGAATCCCTCTAGGGTTCCAGTGGGCAGATCAGCTTTCATCTCAATTGCACCTTCCTCCTAGTGTAGTCTGTTCTGTTTAAGTTGTCAATACACTTCTATTTTTGTCTTTCAGAAATTTGTTGAAATCTCTTGCTGGCCAATGATCAGCTCTTTCCAAGCTGAGTTTTCTTCACTGTTATACAGGCCTAAGTATCTGTACATTGTTTTTTGTTTAAGTTTTAGGAGTCAGTTGAAATAAATATAGAATATCTTCAGTTAGTACCTCTAACAGAATTTCAATTATTTTTTAATACCTGCTGCTTAATGAAGATGCTTTACTGTCTACCATGTGCCGAGTACTTTCTCCAGGCTCTGGAGGACATGTAAAAAGGTATAATATATAATCCCTATAAGTGTAGAGTCCACACTCACTCTGTCCCAACTTTGATTCTACTACCGGCTTACTTTTTCAGACAACTGATTCTATCATGGTACTTCTTTAGAAATGTTTGGTGCTTTTTCCTTGCTCATCTTTCCCTCTGTAAACCCTCCCTGGTTTTCAATTCCCTCTCTTAACAGTACATGCCCCTCAAGTGAGAACTGTTCAGTTCATTGTGTCATCAACATGCCATGTCATTTCTCACCTCTGTGCCTTTGTACATGTAGTCTCTACTTTCTGGAGTTACTGTCCCTTTCGTATCTGAGTCCTGCTTAGATACAAATGCTGAATTCAAATTTCACTTTTTTTTCTAAATAAATATTCATTGATTGAAGCTTTAAGTCGTTTAGACCAGTGCTATTCAAAGTGCAGTCTGTTCTTTTCCCATTTAGGTTATTACCTAAATTGAGCAGAATAATGGAATCACTTTGCCATACACCTGAAACTAACACAACACTGTTAATCAACTGTGCTCCAATATAAAATAAAAATTTAAAAACAAACCAAAAAACCAAAGTGCAGTCTGCAGACTGATACTGGAGCATGAACTGTTACCACTATGCTGGAATATAAGTACAGAAATTGAGAATAAGCTTTAGAAACTTTTATAGAAATTTGACAGAGAAATTATGTCTGTCAAATTTATAATAAAATTTGGTTTCCATTTTACATGTTTAAAAAAATTCTGGTAATTCATTTAAATTTCATTTTATAAAGGGCTCTGTCTACAAAGGATTAGAAAATTTAAAAAAAAAGACATCTCACCACAGTTCAAGAAGCACTTGTTTGTTTGCTTATTTATTTATTTAAGCCGTACCTCGTGGCTTGCGGGATCTTAGTTCTCCAACCAGGGATTGAACCCAGGCCACAGCAGTGAGAGTGCTGAGTCCTAACCACTGGACAACCAGGGAATTTCCAAGAAGCACTAATTCAGACTACAAAGCATATGAGTATTTAGCAGTGAAGAGATCAGTATGTTTTGGACCAGTAGAAGAGGATTTCACAAAGGAGATGAGAGCTCTTCTTGAAGGGTGCATAGGATTTGGATGGTTGGAAAGCACTGTGGCATTTCCAGTAGGGATAACAGGGTTTTGGATTACAAATGGAGGAGAGTTGTGCTAATATGATTTGGAGAGAAAAGAATCCTAGCAGAGTTAAAAATTAAGTCCACAGGGCTTTCCTGGTGGCGCAGTGGTTAAGAATCCGCCTGCCAATGCAGGGGACACGGCTTCGAGCCCTGGTCCGGGAAGACCCCACATGCCGTGGAGCAACTAAGCCCGTGCGCCACAACTACTGAGCCCGCGTGCCACAACTACTGAAGCCCATGCACTTAGGGCCTGTGCTCCGCAACAAGAGAAGCCACCGCAGTGAGAAGCCCGCGCACTGCAACGAAGGGTAGCCCCCACTCGCCGCAACTAGAGAAGAGCCCTCGCACAGCAATGAAGACCCAATGCAGCCAAAAATAAATAAATAAATAAAATTAAAAAAAAAAATTAGGTCCACAGAGAGCTGACCAGTTACCGGAGCCTTTATTTGGTAACTGCTTGAGCTACTGCATGATGAAGACCTTTCATTCCCATATGTCTGTTGCTGATTTTCCATGGGACTAGTAGTAGTGAGTACATTTTACATTTTGCCTGTTTGAAACATTTCTTTTTAATTTAGCCTTTATGGTTGGCTTATTGATAACTTTAGTTGTTGCTGAATTTATTGTAGATTTAATATTAATAAGTAAATAAGTAAAATATAAACTAAAAGGATAATTGATAAAAATTATTTAAATTTTAAATTATTTTTAAAGCCTAAACAATATAAATTTATTTTCTCACAGTTCTGGAAGCTAGAAGTCTGAGATAAAGGTGGCAGCAGACTTGATTCCTTCTGAAGCATCTCTCCTTGGATTGTAGATGTCCTTCTTCTCACTCCTTCTTCACATGGTCTTTCCTCTCTGTGGCTGTGTCCTGATTGCCTCTTTTTATAGGGACATCAGTCATACTGGATTGGGGCCACCTTAATGACCTCATTTAACCATAATCACCTATATAATGTCTCCTGTCTTCAAATATATATAGTCACATTCTGAGGTACTGGGGGTTAGAATTTCAGTATATGAAATTTGGGGGAAACAGTTCTGCCCATGAAAAGGGGGAATTTGAGGCTAGTTTTTCTTATAGTTTTAATCACTCAGAATCCTAAGGTGGTGGGTTTGGAACTCACAGCTTCGGTAGGGGAATTTGTACTTATTCTTTTGGTAGAAATTGCTGCATCTGAAGAGAAGCTTTAGTATCTTACTTGACTCTGGTCTCATTATATTTCAGGACTACCATGAAGATGCATTGAAAATTCTGCTACACTGGAGGAGTGAAGTATCCCATTCAGTTGGTGATCTTCCTGTCATGGAAGTTGCTTGCCAGCTCTAATTTTGAGTGAACACAGTAAACACAATGGTGAAAATATCAATTAAAGAAATCTACTCTTCATACTGTGTATGTCTGTTTCCCTATGTATTCTGAACTCGCTCATAGCTACCTACACATAGTTGTCTGTAGCTTCGGTTTTGCCAAACTATTAAAATCATCTATTTTTTCTACTGTTCTACTTTGACTTTGCCTTCAGCTCTTGCTCCTCAAGATTGAGATATGAAAGGATCCTTCTGTCTTTTACCACACAATTCCTTTGTCAGGAATTTCATGATTTCCTCCAAGTTTGCAGTTAGGTGTTTGACTTTATTCCCTAATTTTAACACTGACTGTTTTTCATTTTATCTTTTCCTACTTTTGTAATTTGGGTTGGTTCTTTTAAAATATTTACTTATTATTTTTTTGTTGAAGTATAGTTGAATACAATATTATCTTAGTTTTTAGTGTAAACATACTGATTTGACATTTACATACATTATGAATTGATCACCACTATAAGTTTATTAACCAAATGTCACCATACAAATGTATTACAATATTATTGACTATATTCCCTGTGCTGAACATTACGTCTTGGTTACTCATTTATTTTATAAATGGAGGTCTGTACCTCTTAATCCCCTTCACCTATTTTACCTAACCCCCACCTACTTCCCCTCTGGTGTCCTCCAGTTTGTTTTCTGTATCTATGCCTCTGTTTCTGTTTTGTTTTGTTCATTTGGTTTGTTTTTAGATTCCATATATAAGTGAAATCATGTGGTATTTGTGTTTCTCTGACTTACTTCACTCAGCATAATACTCTGTAGGTCCATCCATGTTATGGGGGCTTGTCTTCCCAGTTCTGGTCCCCCAGGCTGGGGAGCCTGGCATGGGACTCAGACCCCTTACTCCTCAGGGGGAATGCCTGCAGTGTGATATCCCTCCTAGTTGTGGGTCGCTGCACTGGGGTGTGGGTTCTCTGCCCCTGCTACCCATCTTGATGTGGCCTTTTCTTTATATCCTTAGTTGTAGAAAATCTGTTCTGCTAGTCTTTAGACACTTTCAGAGATAGCTGTTCTATGTGTAGTTCTATGTGTGTCCATGGGAGGAAGTGAGCTTGGGATCTTCCTATTCTGTCTGCCATCTTGATCTAGATCCAATCTGATAAAAATTATTTTAAATTAAAAACACTTGTCTTTATCTTGTTCTCTATTTTCCTTTGTCAGTTTTATCTTAGATTAAAGCTTTTCTTCCTTCTGAATTACAGTCATTAATTTAGAGATCTGGGATTAAAAAGAATATTGAGGTAAACATTGCTCCTGAAGAATTAACATTTAGCTTATAAAACAAAATATGAGCTGAACTAGTTTTTTTTATTATAGTAAAATATACATAACATAAAATTTACCATTTTAAGCATACAGTTCAGTGGCGTTAAATATATTCACATTATTGTGCGACTGTTAACCACCATCCATCTCCAGAACTTTTTCATTTTTTCAAACTAAAATTTTATACCCATTAAAAAATAACTCCTCATTTCCCATCTCTGCCCTGAACTAATTATTTTAAATTTACCTATTTTTGTGTCTTCTTACTTGTTCTGTTTGCTATCATTATAAATGAATACGTATTGAATACTCCTTATATATGTGGAACTGGGCCAGATGCTGACCAGGGTTGAGTTACATTTAAAAAGAAGGCTGAGCAATTTGCCATTAGGTGGTATCCTGGGTGACAGAGTCTTGTTGTGTCATTTTCTTTATCTTACATCCACACTCCAATCCATTAAATGTGCAAAAGTACACAAGCTGCTTTTTGTTTCAGAGATTACCAGGAAAATGCCTAATTTCACCAGTCTGACAATTCTAAGTCCAGATTGAGCTGAATTATTGTTTTGATTTTATCAGATATTTTGAGTACCTAAATGAACATATTTGCAAAATTACTAAATATAAAAGTGGATGGTAGCTTGGTTATTTTTTTAAAGCCTGGAGAAATTTTTAATAGCTATATATATATATATCTTTTGAGGTGTCATTGTTTTATTTCTTCCTTTCTAACTTCTTTTTCTTTATTATGTTCAGTTGTACCTCTTCCTTCCCCTGCCCTGTAGGTTATCTATTTCTCATGGTTTTTACCTTTAGTTTTTTGCTTAGAAATCTCACCTTTGTCAGTTCGGTTATCTCTCTGTGAGAAAATAACTCCTAAGTCTATATAGTTGACACTTGAACAATATGTGTTCAAACTGTGTGGGTCCACTTATATGTGGGATTTTAAATAGTACTACACAGTTTGTGGCTGGTTGAATCCACAGGTGCAAAACCGTGGATACAGAGGGCTGACTATAAAGTTATACATGAGTTTTTGATTGGGTGGAGGATTGGCACCTCTAACCCCGTGTTGTCCAAGGATCAACTATATTCTTAACCTTGAGTCATAGTTCTCAGTCTAGAACTGTCCTGAAATTTTCTCTTATGTGATCTGGTGTTACCTCAAACAAACATGTCTAATGTTGGACTTAACATTTTTTCATCCACTTTAAACCTCCTCCTCTTTTCTCTTTTTTTTTAATAGGACTACTATTTTTGTCATTACCTAAGCTTGACGTTTAGCAGTGGTTTGCTCTTTCTTTCCGAATTCATCTAGTCACTAGATCCTACCGACTATTTTTGTCTGTTATTATGATCATTGTCACATATGACCCTTTGCATTCTTATTGCACTCTATCCAGTATAGGGCCTGATCAGCTGATGCCTAGGTTACTGCAGTAGTCCCGTGCCAATAGAGTTTTTCTCTTGAGTCCCTTATACCACTTTCTTTTGTAACTCTCATGTGAAAGTTGTGAATATCTATTTTGGATTATAGTTAACTATGTCTCACCATTGTCTTTTTCATCTTTGTACTCCCCAGAAGCCTTACATCATAGTTGGTACTCAATAAATGTTTTTGAGAATATGGTATTCTAGTTATAATTTCTTCTTCTTCTAATGTATTTTGTACAGCATTGCCATGTTCTTTCATTCATTTAACAAATATTTATTGAGTGATTATTTTGTGCCAAGGACTTTTAGCTGCTAAGGGTATAGTAATCATATAGTAATCAACAGTCAAACAAAAACTTACGACTGGTAGCTTATATTCTAGTGAGGTAGAACAATGACAAAGTAGGAAAATACATAATGTCTTAGATGGTGGTAACTGAAAAGGAGAAAAAGATAAATGAAGGGGGGAGATAGGGAGTATCGAGGGTGAAAGATTGATATTTTGGATAAGGTGGCCAGGAAGGCCCTTTTGCAAAGGTGGCACTTGAGTAAAGACTAAAGGAAGTGAGTGGGGAAGGCAGCAAATATCTGGGGAAATAAGGTTCCAGGCAAAGCGAGCGGCAAGTGCAAAGGACCTCGAGTGCAAGCGTACCTGGCATGTTTGAGTATTGGAGAGCAATAGAGTGAGCTGAAAGATGGGTAGTAGGAAGCAAGGGTGTGTATTAGGAGGAGAGGTATAGAGTGGGAAAATACAGATTGAGTAGTGCCTTGTAGGACACGATGAGGAGTGTGGTTTTTTTCTCTGAATGAAATGTTTAGCCTTGGGAGGATTTTGAACTTACAAGTGACATGATCCTTCTTGTTAATGGAATCATTATGGTAACTATAATTGAGAAGAGAGAGGAAGCAGGAAGATCAGTTACGAGCTTTGACACAAATCTTGGTCAGAGATAATAGTGGCTCAGACCTCAGTGATAGCATTGGGAGTAGTGAGAGGTATTCTGGTTTGAGATGTAGTTGAAGTAGAGCCAACAGAATTTTCTGATGGGTTGGATGTGAAGCATGAGGGGAAATGAAGAGTCATGGATTATCTGAAGGTCTTTGGCCTGAACAGCTGAAGAATGGGTTTGCCAACTGAGATACAGGTGCCTCTGAGAGGAGCAGGTTTGGTAGTGGGTTTGTTAGGAGTTAAGCTTTGGACATGCTAAGTTTGTGATTCCTGCTTGACATCCAAGCAGAGCAAGATTGTCTAGGTTCATGTGGGTATATTAGACTGAAGTTCAGGAACGAGATCTGGGAGTCATCAGTATTGAGATAGTGTCTAAAACTATGAGACTGAGTCATCGGGAGAATGAATGTAGAAAGAAAAGATTAAACTTTTTGAAACACCTTACCCCATATCTCTGCTTAGTACATACCTTGAAAGGCTCCAGGTTCTCCATGGCCTTTCACAGTGTAGTCTTGTACAAATCTCTTATGTCACATTGGACACTTATGTTTCCTAAGTTCTCCTTTTGCATTGCTGCCTTCCTAGTTTTGCTCATCCTTTTCCTTTTACATAGAATGCTTTCTTCTTTCTACCCAACTGAAATCTAGTTTTTTCCAAGCATCTTTATCTTTTTTTTTTTTTGGTACGCGGGCCTCTCACTGTTGTGGCCTCTCCCGTTGCGGAGCACAGGCTCCGGACGCACAGGCTCAGCGGCCATGGCTCACAGGCCCAGCCGCTCCGTGGCATGTGGGATCTTCCCGGACCGGGGCACGAACCCGCGTCCCCTGCATCGGCAGGCGGACTCTCAACCACTGCGCCACCAGGGAAGCCCCAAGCATCTTTATCTTATCACCACTGAATGATCTATTTCTTTTTCAAACACCACTTTTTTCATTTTGTGAAAAGTCTGCGTCTTTATTCCACTCCCCCCTTACCTTGTCTGTATTGTGAAGTTCAACATATTTTTATATGTGTCCTTTTTTTCCCTAATGACATAATGAAATCTGTGGCAGGGACCATGATTTTTAATGTCTTCTGCAGTGATCAGAACCCCAGTTCTACTCCTCAGGGTATATTTGTGGAGAAACAGTCTTTACAAACACTGGAAACCTGGAGGAAGCAAGGCTGTTCAGGAACATCTGGACATTGATTCTGCTTTCTCCCATTAGATAAAAAGTTGTGGCCTTATTAGCAATGAGTTTGGCTCAAGAACCAGCAGGAACCCAGATGTTTATAATTTTTTCCCGTTAAAGGGCATAAAT